TCGGGGCCTGCGGGTCCTGGGGAGGCCCTGGTAGCCACGGTACGGCAGGAGGACACGGGCCTCCGTCACCCATCTCCCACACGGGGGAGCGGCGGCTGGGCCCCAGCAAGGGTCGGGACTGCGCTTTGTCACTGTTTACGGACACACACGTCGGAGAGGGGGGACGTGCGGCCCCACGCCTGTCAGGCCACTGCTTGCCTGTCCGTGCCCTGGGGTACACATGCCTCGTCCAAACATTCGACAGAAGCTGGACTGCCGCAACGGAGGCCACATGGCTGGCCACGGGTTCAGGTCTCCAGGTCAGCCCCAAGACGCCAGCGCTGGGCACCCGTCCCGGAGCCCTCTGTCCCCTCCCGCCCCCGAGCACGCATACCTAGAGGCCGCGCTGAACCCCCTCCCGCCCTCTGAGTACGCATACCTGGGGGCTGCACGGATCGCAGTGCCCCCTCTACCCACTGAGCGTGTACCGGGGGCTGCACGGATCGCAGTGCCACACCAAGCCCGAGCGCATACCGGAGGCTAGAGGATGGAGCAGGTCCTGCATTGGCCTCCCAACCCCCCCAGGATGGGAACTGCCGAGTACTGGGGCCGCGAGGGCTGTGTCTCCCTGAGCCCCACCACACATTTGCTGTCCCAGAGAGCTGCCAAGTGAGCCACGCGTCCCCAACACTTCTGACAGCCACTCGGCTGGGGCCGTCACATCTCCCGACTTCCTAGGCTGTGGGGACAAGCAGCCCTCGGAGGCCGCTGAGGTGCTGGCTCTCAGCCCAGGGCTTTGGGTCTCGGAGGCCTGGGCCTGGGTGGGGGGACAGGAAGGCCCACTCTGGGGCCTTTCCTCCAGTGCGGTTTCCTGGGCTAGCACTGCCCCACTGCCCCTGCCCCCTGGTCCTCAGTAGGCACCAGGTCTCCACCTCCGGGTCAGCTCCTGTGCTCGGCCAAGTCGGGTCCATGGTCCGGAGGCCCGGAGGCAGCCCCCAGCCCAGCCTAGGCCCATCAGCCCTTGGGACTGCCTCATCCAAGCCTCACCCCAGCTGGAGGAGGGCATGCTGCCGCCCACCAGAGCACACACAGGCCCTGCCTCCCGCCCCCCGCATGTCCGTGCGACCTGGCCCAGGCTGGGCTTGTTGGGGGAGCAGAGGTGGACCCTCCAGGGCAGCAGAGCGGGGCAGCGTCCTTGTCACAGCCGGTTACCTGGGACTGCCTCGGGGCAGCGGCTGAGGACGAGGCCCTGGGAAGAAGATGACAGGTGGGGGCGGGACAGTCAGGACAGCAGGGAGGAGGGTGGAGCGCGAGGAGCACTGGGATGGAGGGAGCTCGGGCAGAGCCAGCACTGCCAGGCCTCTGCAGCCAGGGCCCAGGTCTGGCACCACTGCAAGGGGACGGCTCTGCACTGGGCCTTCCGACTTGGCTGCCCGAGGTGGACGAGGAGACAAAGGGCACCCACATGTCAGCAGCGTCTCGGCCACGGGCACCATCGCCGGGTCAGCAGCGT